GTGGAGATATAAAGTTGACAACTACCTATAGAGTTCCCAGTAAAATTATGCAGTTCCTAGTATGCATATTCCTACAATCCAGCAATTTTGTTTGTGGGCAATATTGTCTCAAGAAATTCTCATGAAGGCCAATAAATTCCATATATCTAGGTTCCTTAGGAAGAAATGAATACATACTACATGGAAGCCAAAAATATTCATCAAAATGTTGACCCTTACATGTCCCTATTCATACTGTTTCCATATCCTCTATAGTTTTAACTTAACCTTTGCTGAAAAGGTAAGTAAGACTAAACAAACCATGATCACTTCTTTACACAGGCTAGTTTAAGAAAAAGGAAAGCAGGGTATGCAGCGAGGGAAGTGTTTCAGTGTTAGAGACTGCACAAATTTGCATCTGAGTCCAGGCCTTAGTTTGTCCATGTGACTTGGAGTCTCTGCCTGCCTCAGTTTGTTCACACAGAACATGGTTATTACTCACTCTGCATACCAGGAGGATTAGAGATAACCAATGTCTATTTGTCAGTGCCTAAAAACTATAGTGTTCAACAGATAGGAAGTGATTTAACCAAATAAAGCAACTTCATGAAACAACTCTACTAGATTTCCCTGCCCTGCTCAACCTATCTTAAGCAGAATGACTTACATTCGTGTCATATAACACACACAGAAATCAGGGACTAATTCAATGTGAATTCACACATCAGTTTTTTCCACTGCACAACAGGGATAAATCATATCTCCTTTTTCTTACACTTAAACTGTAAAGGTTAAGACTCGGAAGCCTCTTTTAGCTTCTGGGAAATGAATACAAGGCTGGTAGTGGTGGTGGCTATGACCGTCATGATTCTGCAACTGGCCTCAGAGTCCTGACTCTACAAAAACAGGGAAGGGATATTCACAGATGTATTGCAGGGAAAATGCTCTTAGGAGAAATCCAGTTATCCATAACTAACTGCAAAGATCTCAAGGCTGACCATGAAAAACAATTAGCCCAGAGACAAGACCAGATCGAATATAAGGGCTTACCACATCACCCATTTAATGTACAACAAAGAGGAAAAATTCCATCTGTGAATCTTTATACGCTGATGGCTAACATATTCTACATTTTCAGTCTGGAGTAGTTGTTTTGCTTTGGCCTCGATTCCCAACCTATAGACTTCAGGGTGCTGGAAGAGGTCTGTAGGCTGAATCCCTATCTCATGCATACAAGCAGTGCTATTTTACAAATACAGGAAGATGCTGAAGTCATTACTTGCAATATATACTCAGCTGAGTGATATTACATAACCCTCATGAAACATTTGCAATTATAAGAGATACGAAGTAAAACAGTGAACCAGTTAAGATCATTGAAATCTTTTAATATTAAATAAAAGCTTCCTGATTTTTGTAAGGGTCAGGGGCCACTGCATTATAGTTTACAATTTGACTAAGAAGGCTATTTTTTGCTTTATAATATACATGAAAAGAAAAAAGGTTTTGAAAAAATGAAATCTTAACTTGCATTTATCTCCACTCCTAGTCCCCTCTTGGCCATTAGCTTTTCCTTGGCATTTAACATCAAAGCTAGTTACCCTTTCATTTTTAGCCTTTCTGTTGGAAGAGATACACGGCTAGCTCACAAGCCACTGCAAGTCACCAGCGGACAGAAAAGGCAGTGCACTGTGTACTAAGGAACTACACGTGTATCATTTCATTCCTCCCTTATAGAAGAATGATCTCTCATTTCTTCTCTTTTGCTCCTCCCCTACCTTCTCTCTCTGAGGGTTTTGCCCACAGTTTTACAGAGGGAAAGTTATAGACCACTACAAATACTCTAATTATGGGAGATAAAATGAATATTTTATCCAACACTTATGAAAAATGTACTCCAAATTTTAATTTGCAGTACAACAAATTAAACCATTATTTTACAGTTTAGTTAATGGTGCAACATTAACACCATAGCTAAAGAGAGCCTCAACTTTAAGTGCTAAAAAGATAAGGAAATAAACTTACTTCCATCTAAGGAATATTACAAAAATATTTCATCTATAATTTAAAGTTACATGGGTTTGCTCACGTTGTTCTGTAACGTGACACTCTCAGTGGATTACCTTGAGCTGGAATGAAAGCTTAGGGGATGTGCATGGTGGCAGCAGTAGTGGGGAGTGGAGTCATATACATCATCTACTAACTAATTAATTTTCTGGGACATAAACTGCTCTAGGAGTAAGCCAGAAGTGGTTTTTTAATTCTAAAAAATTAAAATGTGGTAATCTGGTACCTCAGAAAGATACTTGCTCACTAAAACCTGACAAAAAGTATCTGTAAATTAAAATATACTATTAGGATTTTGGAAGCAGAACACAAATCACACTGGTGCAAACACAGCTAAATCTAGTCACAGACACAGAGGAAGTGTAAATGTCAAATATTTAAAAAAAATTGCCTCAAGAATAAAAACAAACCTTGAGCTCCAGGCAGAGCCTGAGTGAGGAGGAGTAAGGAAAAACCTGGAGATATGGTAAGGCAATCCAGCTTTCTTTTGGGATGGTAAAGGACCACCTGAATCAGCACTGCCACCTCTTCCTTAGGCAGCAACTTTCCAGACTACAAAAGAGCCACAGATTACATCAAAAGACCCTTGTTCAGGTCTCAACAACTCCATTTACTAATACAACCACTGACAAGTCACATCTCATCAGCCTGTTTTCTCTCTCCATAAACTAGAGAAAATGAATCCTACTTCACTAGAGCATGGAAAGGAGCAAGAAGGGTTTACCTCTGTTGAAAGGAGTAAAGAAAAAATACATAATATACAGTGTGTAAATAGAAAGGGCAATCTAAAGGCCAGATATAATATTTAAGTACCAGTAGAATGGAAGGAGACTCTACCTAAATGGGAAAGAAATTTGGAGGGTCACAAAAGCTGTTCTACTGTATCTTAGAGCAGACTGACAGATGCTAAAGAAAGTCCCCAGATAAAAAACTGGGGGGCAAGGAATACACATGGGTATAAAAGTAGAGGCAAAACACTATGGTTGTACAGGTCTTTCAGGAATCTCTCGACTGGCTGAGTGCGGTGGCTCACATTTGTAATACCAGCACTTTAGGAGGCCAAGGTGGGCAGATCACTTGAGGTCAGGAGTTCAAGACCAGCCTGGCCAACATGGCGAAACCCTGTCTCTACTAAAAATACAAAAATTAGCCGGGCATGGTGTTGTGTACCTGTAATTTCATCTACTCGGGAGGCTGAGGCAGGAGAATCACCTGAACTTGGGAGGCAGAAGTTGCAGTGAGCCAAGATGGAGCCACTGAACTCCAGCCTGGGTGACAGACCGAAACTCCTGTCTCAAAAAAAAAAAAAAAAAAATTCTTCACTTTTCGTGATGTATTTGGCAAGAAGAGACATAAACACAGCCATCTCACAATTAAATTCAGACTTAAGAAGTCCATGTACATCTAGGAAGGATAAGTTTAATTGTTCAGTTTTTAACGTGCATTTTGGCTACTTAATGTCATGTAGTTAATGAGTACATGTTTTGTACTCGGGTGGGTAAATTTGTCCCACCCTGGTAAATTTTCCTTTCAAAGCAAACTTAATTAGATAGTAAATGTTTTATTATAAAATTTTTAGCATCAGAATGTATAGTCAGCATCCCATGTCATAAATGTAAATTCTCCACCTAACCCTGACTCCTTAGATGGCTTGGCTACCCAATAAAGTGAAAGCATGCAGTGTATGTGATACTGTGCTACACAGATTCACTTTTCCTCAGTGCTACAGGGAGTGACCTTCTTTGGCAGAGTCTCACTTTCCTCCCCTCTAGTCATATGCTCACATCCCTTCCTCTGAAATAAAAATTAAGAAGATGCTACTGGCTTAATAGGGCTCAAACATTTAATTTGAGACCATATAGTGATCTGGTCAGACGGATCCTTCTCAACCATGCCAGTCCCTTAGTGTCCTCCTCAAGACTGGAGTTTCACCAGGTAGATAAATAGGCAGTAAAATGAGGCCAGGCTTTCACTGGGGGAGAAGTCAATCTGAGTTAGTCTGGAGAAAGAGGAGCTGCCAGGGAAATAAAGATGCAAAAGTCTGTAGCATAAGGCCAGCCCTAGCGTTTTAGTCTCCTTCTATGAACGTTTGAGATGGAACAGGATGTGGATGTGAAATTATAATCTACTTGGTGAATTTGAGAAAAGTCACTCTCAATTTTACTTTGATGACAAATGGAATTAATAAAGATGCCTGGCTCATATGTTAAAGTACCTTCTGTCTCCGCAAGGAAGCCTGGCTAAGAAACCACAGTGGAGTTAACAAGCCAGACACCAGACTAAACACCTCAGAACTCGCTGCTGTGTCTCATTCCTGGTCCCTACCTTTCTGGTGTGTGTCTGCACCACTAATTCCCTCCATTTGGCAAGGCCTGGCTTTCCCAAAACAGAAAGCAAGGAACCGTGGTCCTCTGTTTCAGCAGCTGAAAAGCTGAGACTTCTGAGCATGGACACTTAAGATTCTTCTCTCCTGTCCACCTTACACTTCACCCACAGCTCATCTTCTTCCTCTTCCCTACGTCCCCAGCCCTTGCTTTCACACCACCCTGCCTCCCAGGACATTTATGTTCATAACCTCAGACCAGCAAGGGAGGAACAAAGAGCTGCCGCTTCAGGCAGCAGCAGTTGGAGGAGAGAGTGGAGAGGGCAGCCGGGGACTCCAGGAAGACTCCCCAGGCACTGGCAGCCCAGCGCAGCCCCGCCTGGAAAGCGCCCCAGTAGAGTCCTGGCAGGCGCGTCCGCAGCACGCGCCCCGGGCCTTCCGCCGGCCCGAACCCTGGGCGGCAGCAGCCAGAGTTTGGCAGAACCCCCGGGTGAGAAGCCAGCGGTGGGGGCGGGCGGGTGAGGCTGCAGCACTACGCTGGAGGTGCAGATCCGACCCCGGCAGCACCCCCAGCACCCCGTGCCGCGGACCTCCCCACCAGCGCCCCGGACCCAGACCCGACCCCGCGCACCTGGACCAGGCGGCCACCCTGTTCCCTCAGGGCGCTCTCTGGGGACTCGGCTTGGGCGAGCTCCGGAGGCTGGAACCGCGGCGATGGGGACTTCACTCCTCCATCCTGGGACCCGGCAGCACGTTATCGACAGCCGTGCACTTCCTGTTTGAAAACACGGGAGAGAAAGAGCGAGAGAGATCGGAGTGTCGGCGGCGTGGAGGAAGGGGCGCGGGGCGGCGGGGACGCAGGACCAGGGGCCACTGCTTGCATGACGGCCATGGTAGGCACCCAGCGCTCCCCTGGCCGCAGCCACCCCGCACCGGCTGCCCGCGTGGTGCCGAAGTGGCGCGGCCTCGGCCCGGGCCCCCCCTGCCGGTGGCCTCGCTGCCAGCCGCCCGCTTGCTCACTCACAGCCCTTCCGTTGGCAGCTGCTGCTCGAGTTCTCCCCTCCCCACAAGTACCTAGATCAATGGACTCCACACTTCCTCCGCTGGTGCCCAGAGGGGTCCGCCTTCTTTTTCCTCCTTCCTTCTCCCCCCAGTTCCCACCTTTACCCCCAGAAAAGAATCACCTCGAGGAAAGGTGTGAAGACAAGACTGAGCCTCTGCAGGGGAGTGGGGGCTGGATTTATGCAAATTTTTAAAGTTAATAGCCACGTCCCAGTTATATCCACTACAGTTCAGCAGCTGTGAGAGATTCAGGATGGGAAATTACTTGCTGTGTGCCTCGCTGACTCAAAAGAGAAAGCTGCCAACACTGAGCAGCCAGGAACTGCAAAACAACAGCACCACCACCACAACTACATAGTATCCTAGCTTCCTCCCAGGGTCTCTACTCAGATCAACCTGTCAACCTCACCCTAGTCTACCAACATTAAGGTATCCCCATTCCACATGGAGCATAATCTCATGGTGCATTCTTCCAGAAAATGATTCTGTAGTTCTCTGTGCTATGTAATCACAGAGAAGTTCCACAGTTCTGGGATTACATTCATTCATTTTGTTGAACTCTGGCTCATGTGGACTTCAGGATAGTGTTAAAAAGAGTAGACAGATGGCTTAAGAATCTGCTGTACGCAGAGTGTACCAGCTATGGGGATTCACATTTGTAACCTGCCTGCCCTTACATGCAGAATCTACCAGGTTACAAGGCACTTACAGGACTGTCTCTGACAAATGGCTCCTTTTATCGTAAAGCTGTTGGCATTCATGGTTCCATATTCAAAATGGAGAACGGAATACAAACAATAATTACTCTACATAAAAAGGTCAGTTTTGACTGAAGCAGAAAGGAACTGATGGATATTAAGCTCCTACTCAGTGCCAGGCAACATCTCATTTTAAACCCCTCTTGACCCAATATTTCCCAACAGATCTGCAAAAGCCCTATTCCTAATGAGAAAACAGGGTCAGAAAAATTAAGTATTCCCATGTCTCTGCTAGATAGTGGTCAAATGGAAAGCAGAATACAGGTCTTTCCTAATTATAAAATCTGCACCATTTCCCCTACACTGCCTACAGTGACCATGAATTCTAGGGGGAAAGTCCAGCACAGCAACCATCCTGTGATCCATCCCTTCATCTCTGGATGATCCTACTACTTACCAGCTATTGCTGTTGTGCTAGGCAGGTTCTTTAACCACCGGGATAATATGTACCTTAATTTTTCAGCCAGAGGACATTGGCTTTTTCCACTATCTACTGCTGGCTATCAGCCTTTTCAGAGTTACTTGGTGGCAAAAGTTCAAAAGGTTCTAGAATGACTACTCATATGCCAAGGTCCAAAGTCTGTACAATTCAGAACCTAACCAGCCGACTAAAATTTGCTCCCTGCATTATTTTTTCTCTAACTGGGGCTCTTTAAGAAAGTAGCAAATGTTCACAAAAACGCACACATGGCTTCAAGTTGGCATTCTCTCATTTTCTATTTCCTTCTCCTTTAACACTTAGTTCACACTCACCTGACAGTAGCATGCTGCTATGAGCCTCCTCATGCAGGCCAAGAAACAGAACACATATGAAAACGTGATTAAGAGTCTTATGTGCTCAAAAGAAAAAAAAAAAGGCAATACTGAGGCCTCCAGATGATGAACTACATCTTGTCCACCCTTTCTCCCCACCTCACAGGCCTGAGTTGAAGTAGCGTACCCAGGTGACTGCGGCCTTCAAGTACAAAGGCAGGGGCTGGGAAGAGGACTGCAAGGACCAGTGAGATGCATTCCTGTCCATCAGGCACTCACATTCTAATGAGGGCTTCTTAGTAAAAGACTTCCCGGGAGGATCTTAGCATCCTCTTACTAACAGAATTCCCGGGGGATATTGGCATCCTTCAGCTCTGTCCACCTTTTTCCTTCTCTCAGGCGTCTGCTTACCCTGGACCTGGCAACTCTTCATTTCTTTTCACAAACTTAATACTTCTTCCCAAAGAGCTACCACATATTTCCCACAAAGTACTCAGTGTGGGAGTGGGGGTGTGAGGGAGGGCATTTAGCTAGAAACTTCTGTCGTTTTAAAACCCTGTCAATAATTACCATGTTTTTAAGGAGACAAATATGTTTTAAAATATCTTTTGGTATCCCTCCTTCATTTCTGTTACTCATTATCTAAGAGTCCAAAGGAAAACCTCTGAAGAAAAATATTTAAATTCTTAAGAAAAGGCAAAGGAAAACTTAAACCTGCAGAGCCTTTGTTTCTTATATTTGGGACTCATGAGATTAGACTATGTAACTTCTTAAAATCTCTCCCAGGAAAAATTCAAAGTTATTAATCTAAAAACAGTCAACAGTAGACTATTCCTATTTTGTCCAAGTACTATACTGCGTGATAATTTAATGATACATAGGAAAGTTTGTATGGTTAATAGGTAACAAAATACAGAAAAGCATTTGGTGTAAGACTAGCAACCATACTCACCTATGCTCCTGTGTCCATACCCAAATGTGTAATACTCTCCCCTCCAGAGCAGTGGCCAGCTGTGGGGGAAGGGCAGCCACATTTCTCTCCCTTAAGGTCCCTATAAACCCAAACCCTCCTCCTGATCAAAAATACTTATTAACATTCACTCTGTAGGACTCCTAAAGTTTACAGTTTGGAGAATACAACACAGCTCCTTACATTTCCTAATCCTAACTACCATGAGGCTTCAACACCATTCTCATACTTGCCCCTGGGGTCAGCTATTCACCTGCTCCATGTTTCATGGAGAAGCATTTCCTTCTCATAGCCACTGTTATGCTTTTCTCTCTCTCTCTCTCTCTCTCTCTCTCTCTCTCTCTCTCTCTCTCTGTGTGTGTGTGTGTGTGTGTGTGTGTGTGTGTGTGTGTGTGTGTGTATATATATAAATCGCAACCTCATAAAAAGAAAAAACTACACTCTCAGGTAGGCACAAATGATGCCACAAAAGTTTTTGGAAAAATCTGGGGTGTTCACGTTGAAAGTCTTCACTCCCTAAGCACCAAAATCCCCAGATGAAGACAGCAACACTGTGAAAGCCATTTTAGACGCTCCAAATTCAGTTTCAAGAAATAACTTTTCTGAGGACTAATGGGTGTGGAGGAGGAGACGATAAACTCATCTTTATAAAACAATGCTGCTTATCTTTCTTCATCTTAAAAAAGAAAGATCTTAGTTTGGCAGTTAAAAATGTTTGCCACAAGCACTTCTCTGTGTGAATATCAGAATTCTTGGTGATTATTACATATGAATTTTGAAAAGAAGAAAATAAAAAATGACAAGCTGTCTGGTTACCTAAGAGATGTCCTCTCTGCACTATCAGCCCTCACAGCAGTGTCCCTACCTTGTCTTCACTTCCAGGATAGCACACGCAACAGGATTTTCTGGGAAGGAGGTCCCTGGAACTCACATTCACCTCCTGGCCTCTGCAAAACTTGAACCATGGCTTTCAAGGAAGCCTTTCTCAGAGCCAACTGGCTGGCCTGATTGGCAATTACCCATTAGCCGTCTTCAAGGAGCCAGAGTGTCATTTCACGTGACAAAATGCAGCAAGGGGTTGCAAATCATCTTTTAAGAAATATGCCTGTAAGACAGTTTCCTGGGTTCGAGCAAGCTAATAAGGAAAGCACTTCTTAAAGCACCCCACAGCACGACTTAGAAAATCCAGCCACAAGGCAGAAACACAGGGCCAGGGTGGCTACAGGCCTGAGCTGGTCTCTCTCTAAGCTCAGTGCTTCAATTTCCTCAGCCTCCAAACACACATGATGAACCCACACCCCTTGCACAAAATTACTAACATCACACAGGAAAAACCCTCACAGGCCCTGCCTCAGTGAATTATCAGAACTGCCTTTGCAGGGAGGTGTCATTATTAATGTGTTACAGAAGCAGCAGTAGGGCTCACAGATGTTAAGTGATATTCTCAAAGCCTTAGGTAATGGAGCTAAAACTCACCTGGGGTCTGTTCTTCCTTCTTTTAACTGAATAGAAATGAGTGGGTGCATTTTGGCTGTGGATATATTATCCTGCACTACGTATCTTTCACACAGAAAAAAATTCCAGTTTTAAAACATAACTTGTAATGTTCTTTCTCAAGTGTATCATACACCCTCATCACCTTGCCATATTTTGGTAAACTGTAAAGGATAAACATGTATTTTGTAATAGGCCAAATGATTTTAAGATATAGGAATATAAATGGATACAAATTAGGTAAAATATGCACTTGAGCTGCAGCTGGATATTATTTTATAAAATAATAAGACAGATCTACTGATCAAACTGTGATAAACAAAATCTTAATACTTTTTTTCCAAGCTTCCTCTCTCATTTTTCAATTAGATGCAAAAACTGCATATAAAGTGGGCCATGTTAGTTGATGTACTGGGATTTACTGAGCATGATACTATGAAAGAAGGGTAAAATACCCCAAAATTCTGACTAAATGAAATTACCTGTATAAAAGACTGTTCAAAATGTTCCCAGCACAGATTGCTAACAATGAATAGCCTTGGGTTATTTAATGACTGTTGATTGTTACGTGTATTATATAGACTAAATACTGTCCTATAATTCATTCTTCTTTGGAAGGCATGTTTTGTCTGTTAATCTTCTGTGGTAGTATCTGTTTCCTTATTTGAAACATTCTTTTAATTCTCTTTGGGCAATCTTATTTGTCTTATTTTTATTTTTGAGACAGAGTCTCACTCT